CTCTGATCCGAATATTGTTGGTTACCTTTTCAGAGCCTGCTCTGGACACTGAAGCTCATTAATGCCAAGAATGACATAGGGTGCAGACAAGGTCCTTTCAGCTCACTGACTCTTCCTTAGTCTGCTTGAGCCTTGCGGGTGGACCCATAGCCTTGGGGTGAGCCCTGCTTCACACTCCCATGACGTCATAGCATCATGAGTCCCACATGGAGAGGCAAGTGGTCTGCACAGTTTGCTAACAACGTATACACAAAGATGGAAACATTTAGTCTTTATATTTTGCATCATACATCTTAAGCTTTGGAGTATTTGTCATTTCTAAACATAGCAACAGTAGTTGTAAAACTGCCTTTCTAGAGCCTTCCCTGGGATAATCTACCAACTAACTGTCTTCAAGGAATGTAGTGTGGTTGGATATGGTCCTTCTATTGTGTTTTCATTAAGACCTGAGTTTACCCATCTGGAAAATAAGCAAGATCGAGCCTCATGCCTTTCTTAGGTGAATAAACAAAGGCTCCAGAGTGTCGAATGAACTTTCCTGATGCCCCACAGCCAGTGAGTGCTGGAGCTATGCTCTGCACTCAAGTCTGGGTGAGCTAAGAGCCCGTGTTGCTCACCACTGAGATCCTCATCCTCCTTCTAATTATAGGTAGACATTGTTTACTTGGACCCAAAGATGCTTTGAGTGTTTATTCTTTGTCACTATAGACACAGTTGGCCCTTCCTTGCCCCCTTCCCCCAATTGCTGGAGAACATGATTCAGCTACAACCAGCTTGTGACCACCCTATACTAACACCCTCTTTCTGCCCTCCCAGTGCCCTCTCAGAGCTGGCTGCTCTTTATCAAGAACTCTGCGTCCAAAGTAAATGTCAGGGCAGCAGGATTTCTTGCCAGAGGCTGGATAGTGTGGTTAGGTAGGCCCTGGCCCAAGAAGAGGGAAAAGAAAAATTTCCTCTACTCTTAGCCGAACCTCCCACTTTTTACCCTTCAGAATGTTTGCTGCCTTAGAAAGTACCCGGTGGAGAGCCCAGCCTCCCCGACACTTCCCCAGGGGCTCCCAAGCTGAGACTCATGTGCCCTCACAGTGAGTCTTTTCAGACTGGAGCTGATCACATGGGACTTGAATTGAGCCTGTGCTGGTCTGGGGACAGCAGGTCTCAAAATCTGCAGCTCTATAACGCTGAGAAAGAGTGAGTTAAAAGAGGGTTCTGATTTACAGAAAGAAGCTCTTGTGTGGAGGGTTGTTGTCCCCCTGCACATTGGACAACTCCCGACGTTAGGCCAGAATAGTCCCAGTTGTAGCTGCTGAACAGTAGCTCGTCAGAAGAAACGTTCAGTGCTCGTGCCAACTTTGGCTGTTTTGAGAAATTTTGCCAGAAGCAAAACAGGATCAAAAATAATAAACAGATCTCCTCCCTTGCCGCCCCACCGCTGTTTACATGAGGAGACTGGTAAGCTGGCTGTGCCACAGAGCGCTCAGGGGACGGGATTTTTTTAAGCAGACAAGGTTAAATTCAAGGAGTGCTCACTTGTCCAGTTGAGATTGTTCCAGACTCGTCAAGGTTCTAAAGAGACAGACAGCACTAAGGAATGTCTGTCTTCCAAACACTAGTTACCTGTAGTCGGCAAGCATCCATGGGGTAGAGAACCCAGGAAAGGTGTGAGCCTTGAGGAGGATGGCTGTGTTTTAGGAGTAATGATTCCACCAGTGAGGCAAGCTCAAGGAGGCAGGAGGCCTGGCTTCTAGGATACCTCTGCCCTAGGGAGGAGTCCCAAATGCTTTCATTTCATGACCCGCCCAGTGTGTTTGGGGGATGGGGGAAGCAGTGTTGTTAATCAGAAGAGCAGCCCCTGGCTACCAGCAGTATTACTGAGGGGGAAGATGAACGAAAAATTAACTGAAATGAATGTGTGCTACTCCAGCTCTCAATTGGCTCTCGGGTAGGGTCTCTGCTATAGGGATGACTGGATGTACCCAAACATCGGAGCCCCGGAGAGCATGGCTCCATTCTTTGCTGTTCTGGGTTAAGCACAAAATTTGCTTTTCTTCCAAAAACCAACGATTCACAGCACTCCCCAAGGACCTGGGAAGAATGTGCCACTCCAGCACTGGTTTGTTTTAAATTGGTTCCTGAGTCATTCTCCTAATTCTCAGCTTCCTTTAAAATTGTTTTATAGGCTTGATGTACGATGAGTAACTGTCTCTCTCACTGAGGTCACTGCGAATTCTAATTCCCCCCTCGTTTCTCATGAGCTCTGAAGGGTCATGGACATCATTTGGTACTTTCACTTGACTAAGCATTGTTTCATCCTTCATGAACAATTTCCTGTAACCTTTTAAAGTGGGAGATATTGTGTCACAGTGTGAGGGACCTTGACAGGACAACATAAATGGTAGACTTTGGGGTTTATGGAAGGCCAGCTTATTGCCCATGGCAAAGATTTTGTGTAGAATGATAGCCAGCCATGACCAGGGATGCTGGGAGGACTTCAGGCACGTTCTCAGATCATAGCTGCTTGTAGGACTTTGGGGGTAGGGGGGAGGCTGGAATCATACTGCCCAGATGGTTTGATGCTTCAGACTCTCCTTCCAGCTTGAATCTTATGAGAGAAGAGTAGAAGACAGCAAACACGCAGAGTGTAGACGCGTCTCATCATGTGCTCTGTTTCAGTATCCGTTTTATTCTGTTTGCTTTAACTATCTGTGTGCCTGTCCAGGCTGGATTTCAGGAGACAGTCGCTACTTAGCAAGACTCAAATGTGGTCTTTGGAAAGTGCTGCGGTCCCTCTGGTTATGGTTTGGAAAGGCTGTGTAGCTTGGATTCAGTGGTGGGAACTGGAGGGAGAGCGTGAATGAAGACCTAAGGGGTCTGTTTGGTGGAGGAACACCTAAGCCCATGGCTTGCCACACTGTTTCCTTCACCGGAACCCTGGGACTTCACTGACCTCAACCCTGCATGAGGATAGCATCTAGCCATGTCCATGTTTACACCCACATAAATACAAGACGCCATTGTTTCCCAACAGCCTTTGTCTTAATGGAACAATTTTTTTCCTTCCTAGCTAGATCTGCCTGGTGCATAACCATTTAAATACATTAGCACGTTTGTGATTGATGTTAGCAGTTTGCCCTGTGTGCTATGTAGACTTCAGAGCCTTGATTTAACATGCAGCACCGAGAAGCTGAGTGGTTTCTGAAATTTTTCATTTGTAGGTAATACATGTTAGTTAAGGCCACCAGCCTTGGGTTCAAATCCAAGTCTTAGTGCTTCCTAAAGTGATCTTGAGTACTTCCCATGATCCCTGCAAACTTGTTTCCTAAATTACATAGAATATTAATGATGGCCACTCCATGCAGTCATAAGAATGAAGTATTCCCATATACACAGCCTGCACACACATGGATGTTCACTGTATAAAGAAAAAAAGTATAACACTAACAGTAAGCTACAAGGTCCATTCTGCTGTGGATTAGCCACTTACAGGGTGGATCAGAAGCCAGCTTGTTCATAACTACATGTAGTAGAACTCCAGGCCACAGTCATAGGAGACCTAAAGTTAACCCATGTGAAATACCCTCAGAGGAAGGAAAGCCATATAGAACAACTTAGAAATTACACTTTTAAGCAAGGAGTTTCCTAGTGAAGTGGATTCAGTTTCTGAAAGTGTATAGCAGTCAAACTACAGCTGAAATAGGCATTATTTTTATACTTCAACAAGGCAAGTACATAGCTGAACTTTACCTCTGGCATGAATACAACAGAGGAATACTTAACGTTAGGCAATGGTTCATAGATCCAACCTAGCTTCCGCCAATAAGCACTGGCCCCTTAAAATACTTATCTGGTGGGTTTAGAACTCTAGTTCCACTTCGTAGGATCAGCCCAAGGGGAAGAATATCCCACCTACCGGAGCCCACTCTCAAGTTTGCAGCTGAAAGACAAGAGAATGCCTGGCTAGCATTGACAACATATCTTCAAAGCCTAGAATCCCCCTTGGCTTCTTTTCAAAGGCGGCCTTTTAAGTCTTGTGTGTTTACCAAGTTCTGCTAAACTCAAAACATTGACTATCTATGTTGTAACCCACTCTTACTGGCTTACCAAGAAATGAAGTGTGTTTATTGTCTTTTCATTTTTGTATAGGGTACACAGTCAGTCACTCACTCCAAAAGGTTTATAAACTGCCTACTTTGAGCCAAGTGCCTTGTTGTGTAACAACACGTCATCCACACCACAGTTTAGTGAATGAACCTGGAAAAGGTTTCATGTCATTTTCCCCAGTGTTGGAGATGGATGGTCACGGAGAGAGAGTTCCCAGTTCTGCTTTCAATGGTTCATTTGTTGCTCTCGCATTGCTGTGTGTTTTGTTGTTATATTTCTTCACCTTCCACCCATTTTGCAGAAAGTATCCGTGCTGGCATTGCTGGAGGACATGGAAAGATCGATGCTTTCCAGCTCTAAAGAAAGCTCTCAGGTTACAGCTTGAGAAGATTGTGTCCCATTCATTAGCCATGTGTCTTTCTTAGAATCTAGGTAAATGGGCTCCAATCCAGAAAGATGGACTGCCCCCACTTCTTTGAGCAGCATATTGTCCTTGAAGACTCTGAGTCCACCCTGTTTAGAGAGCTCACCTCCGTGCAGACACCATTGCGTCTGTATCCCTCCTGGAAGGGTTAGGATAGAACAGTGGCAAACTTCTCATGAAATCCATTTTAGTCATCTCAGTGATGAACACAAACGTCCAAAGGTACTACCTCTTAGCACTAAACATAATAGTTTCCTATATCATATGTACTGTTGGAGTGTGTATTAATCTTCATCACTGTAACCAAATAACTAACAGAAACAACTTCGTGAAAGAACAGTTGACTTGGGCTCCATGTTTTGGGGCTTGTTGTAAAGGGAGAATGTCTGTTGTAAAAAAATGTTTCATCTCAATCTGGGGTTTCTACCTTGCCTTTGACTATTCAGTTCCCAGATAAAAGACACACACAATCTTTTTTTTTTCAGTTCCTTCTTTTTATTAACTCATACACAACTACTTGTCTTCTGGTTTGTTGAAGCAGTAAGTCAGACAACACTTGCCACAGTAATGCCTGTCAAAGTGGCTACCCATGAAAACTCCAGCACCACATTCATCAGAAGGACACTCTCGACGAAGTCGGCTGATTTTGCCATTTTCATCCACCTTATAATATTTCAGCACAGCCAACTTAACCTTCTTCCTCTTATGCTTATTCTTCTTGGGAGTGGTGTAAGACTTCTTCCTTTTCTTAGCACCACCACGAAGTCTTAACACAAGATGAAGGGTAGACTCCTTTTGAATGTTGTAGTCAGACAAAGTATGGCCATCTTCCAGCTGCTTACCAGCAAAGATCAACCTCTGCTGATCAGGAGGAATTCCGTCCTTATCCTGGATCTTGGCCTTTACATTTTCTATAGTGTCCGAGGGTTCAACCTCGAGCGTGATGGTCTTCCCCGTAAGGGTCTTCACAAAAATCTGCATCGTGGCTGCAGTTCCACCAACGATGGCGGATTGGAAAGGAAGAGCCTAGCGTGGAGGACGGGGTCTCACACACAATCTTTATATTTAGAATAAGCCTTACACAGCACAAGAGCTGAGAAGATATATATATATATCCTTTATGCTATTATAATCTATTTCCTATCTATAACCCCAAGTTATTACTATGTTTCATCTGGGCTGCTTTTAACTCCAATTGGCCAGCCCTCAGGGCCATGTTTTCATGACTCACCTACCCCATGGTGGTATCTCCTTCATCTTCACCTTCTCTCTTCTCCTGGTTCTCCTCCTATCCCCCAAGCCCAGGAACCTGAAAACCTGCCTATATCTCTCCTATCAAGCTATTGGCTGTCAGCATCTTTATTCACCAATCAGAAATAACTTTGGAGCAAGGTTGCATAACTCCCTTGGGTCTATATGCAGCCTCTCTCATCTCTGGGGCAACCAGGTACTTGGGGGCCTGCACTTAGCATTATAATACACAGCAAAAGACCAAACCTCAATAAATGTCATGGTGTCTGGAGCTTGTAGCCAAGGAATGTTGTTCAGCTCACAACAAGACAGGAACAGGGAAGGACAGGAATGGCCTAGAGATAACGTGCTCCAGGGACCTTCACACAGTGACCTATTTCCTCCAGCTAGGGTCTACCTTTTATGTTCCTAGAACATCTTAAAATAGCCTCACCACCAGAGAACAAGCATTTCATACTTGGGCCTGCAAAGCCTATTTCATATTCAACACTAAGTATCTTAGAAAACACTTGACCAGAGTTAACTGTGTACAAGATGCTGACTGGTGCCATGTATGATGCAATAGCCATATAAACAGGATTACTGCTCTCAAGGAGATTGCCCCCAAGTGAGATAAGACATGTAAGCTGTCCCGAGTACAGACAATTCATGGGTGGGTATGGTTCATGATGACTAATGGGATAACACAACAGGCATTGTTGAGGTAGAAATGTCCACAGTCACCAAGGCGGAGAGGTAAAGAGGAAAGGTCACTGGGCTGAGCTTCGGGAAATAGCTGTGCTGCCACTGGTCAAAGATCACGGGGAGTACCCAAAGTGGGACAGCAGAATGAGCCAGAATGTATGGTTTGAATAGAATTTGGACTGTAGGCTAAATTCAGTGCACTATACATAATGAGGCTGGATGGGCTACCATGAGTCCATAAGGAAGAACAATTAAAACGGTTTGAATACACAAGAAGGAAGACTTTCATTTAGAAAGATGGATTCAAGAACACAGAAATGACATGGCCAGGTTAATGACTGGGCATGTATCTGATAAGGTCCTGTCTAAGCATGGTGTCTTAGTTAGGGTTTCCATTACTGTGAAGAGACACTATGACCAAGGCAACTCTTTATAAGGGACAATATTTAATTCAGGCTGGCTTATAGTTTCAGAAGGTCAGTCCATTATCATCATGGCAAGAAGCATGCCAGTCTCCAGGCAGATATGGTGCTGGAGAAGGAGCTGAGAGTTCTACATCTTAATCTGCAGGCAGCCAGAAAGAGACTCTTCTGCACTGGATGAAGCTTGAGCTCTAGGTACCTGCAAAAGCCCGCCTACACAGTGATGCACTTCCTCCAACAAGGCTACACCTCCTAATAGTATCCCATGGGCCAAGCATATTCAAACCACCACACATGGCAAATAAGTATCTCATTTAATCCACCTCATACTATGTTCAATGGATAGCCTCATTGGAAATTAAGAAACTGAGGCCCCCAGAAAGGAAGTTCAAGTAATGTGTTAAGTTAAACTTAAACAACCAGCAAACCCAAGAGTTGACCTGGTTTGTCTGACCAAAGCCTGTGTTCCTCCATTACGTATGGCCATTGTCATCATCGCTCGTGTTGATCTGCTACTCCTCCCCCCAAATATCATAAGAAACATGAATCTTAATTGTGCCCATAAAGAGGCAATAAATAGGGGCTGGAGAGGTGATGCCAGCAGTTAAGAACAGTTGCTCTTCTAGAGGGCCTGGGTTCAATTCCCAGCATCCACAAGATGGCTTACAACTACAGCTTCAGGGGATGTGATGTCCTCCCCTGACCTCCACGGGTACTTCATGTACACAGGGTATGCACATACATGCAAGCAAACAACTCCCATGCAAGAACTAAATTTAAATAAATCTAAGGGTGTATATGTGACTAAACTAAAACACCAGCTAAATTGACCCAACTCATCTGAAATACCTGAGAACCGTAAGATCAATCTGTAAATACATCAGTGAGCAAATGTCCCCATAGGAGCCCGCTCTCAGTTACTGATTTGCAAAGAGTTAGTCAGCATTTTGGGAAGAAAGAATATCACATGCGAACTCTTTCAGAAGTCGTTTCAAGATGTTTAAATATTTTATGAAGTATGAAATTACACATATTAGCCTCCAGCAAGCTGCCCTGCTGATACAGAATAAAAAAATACTCACACAGGATTTTTATAAGAGCTGCTAATATGAAGTTTTACTGCTCTAACTGAATTTTAATCTGTATTTTGAAACTAGCTGCAGGTTAAATCCAAATTAAATGAGATGAGTGAAGAGGCTGGGGGGGGGGCAGAGTTTGTGTGCTTCAGGGGAGAGGAAGGCACATTAGAGAATGTGGAAGGCTCAGTTAACACGCAGAAAACACAGAATTACCCATGATGCACTTCTGCCTCTCCAACGCACATGTTACCATTTTCTCAACATACTCCAGACTCTTTACTCTTGTTTTGAAAGCAGTTTGTCACCACTTCCCTCAAGCACAGGCTGTCTTTAATCTTTCTTTAAGACAGGTCTGTCTTCAGAGTGGCAGAAGCTGGGGAAGGCTAGGGGGCTCTGCTGAATCAGACGATGACTCCCCCCTTAGACAGGTCACAGCCACACTCACTCTCTCAGTTGGAAGAGCTACAGGCCATTGTGGGTGGTACTGTAGAGCAGGGTGCTCCTGGCCCAGTAACTGAGGCCAAGCTCCCAGACCTTAATCCAGGGAGTATTTTTCTCAAGACCCACACTTAGCATTCTTCTCTGTGTTCAACGATTGGCAAATGAAATTCATTCTTTCCTGTTGTCAAATTGCTTGGTCCTTGAGAAACACCAAAGAAACCACACCCTCTCCACCTCCTGTGTATGAAAAAAGACCTCTAGCTACCCCAAGGTGGACTGTATGAGCAGGTGTAGTGGTGAGCTGATTCCAGATCAGGCAGGTTCCCTGGCAACGGATTTCAGGAGCAACCATGGGATGTCCAGCTATACAAGAAGCCACTCTGAACTTCATAGTATTAAACAACCAACCGTGTTATTAAGCTCAAGGATTCAGTGAATCAGAATTGGAAGAGATTGGCCCATGACTGGTCTTTCCTCCACAAGATCTGTTTGCTGACAGTGGAGCTGAAGAGAAGGCCCCAGGATCTTCTGAAGCCTCCCTCCCTCCCTCCCTCCCTCCCACCCTCCCTCCCAACACAGGCAATGAAAGCACCTATCCTTCAGCACTGCTGTAGGAGCTGCTGCTGCCTGGCATGTGCCCTGACTGACTGCTTCATCTTCTCCCTGCTGGGAGTACCTTCAGGAGTGAACCACTGAAAAACATACGATCTGGCGCTGGGAGTTCCATAAGTCATTTTTATTGTATCCTAGTTGTCAACATGAGAGTAAACAACACTTTCCCCTAGTAAAGGAAGGTGACACCTGGATCTTCCCTCCGTCCCGTCCCCCATACACACACACTCCATGCTGAAAGGGTCAGAGAAATCTGTGGGTGGATGGTATACCCTTCTTGTTTGTAGCCCTACTTTTGCAATTTTAGCTGTTCCCAGTCAACTGTGATCCGAAAGTATTAAACAGAAAATCCCAGAAACAAATGCTTCAAACATTTTAAAGAGAGACACATGTTAATGCCTGTACTACACATGTAACAATTGTGCGTCTCAGCCTTCCTGTGGGACTCCTAACTGCAGGAGCAGGGGCTGTCTCTGACTCTGTTGCCTGCCCTGGGATCCCTTTCTCTTAACTGTGTGGCCTTGTCTAGCCACAATAGGAAAAGATGCCTCTAGTCCCACTGCATCTTGACACGCCGAGGCGGATTGATATCTGTGGTAGGGGGCTGATCTTTTCTGAGAGGAAAGGGAGGACTGGGGAATGGGGAAGGGGAGGTGAGAAGGAAAGTCTGGGAGAAAAGGAGGGGAGGGGAAGTTGCAATTGGGATGTAAGGTAAGTTAGTTAGTTAGTTAATTAAGTAATTAATTGTAAATCCCGTGCTGTCCTGCTCTGTCCTCTCTGGGACTTGCTGTAGTGTCTCCATGGCCCCACCTGTTAAGTCACCGAGTGGGTGTCT